CTTATGTAGATTAATGGTAGGTATATAGAGATTACAAAACCTGAAGAAAACTAACCATATACAAATATAAAACCCATAATTTTGAAGTTGTTTGGTCTTAGCTCTCAGCCTCTTCAACTACTTGATCTGAAATCCCATTAGTGGTAATATCTAATTTTAGGAAGAAAGAAACGGAAATTGCACGAGTGTTCGTGTCAGTTAAGAATGTTCTTTTGACTAAGGTTGCGTTTGGATCTTCTGATAATAGTGCCACAAAAATGAAAGCTGTAAACTGTTAGTTAGGTAGGTGGCAACCTGGCACCCATGAAATTGATGGGCAATTTCTTTAATCATCAAAAATGCATTTGGGTTGTTGCTGATTTCTAAAAAAAATTAGAAATGACAAATCATCGACAGCCATTTTGAGGTTTGGCCATTTCCAATCCATCCCAAAAATAGATTGCAACCAAACTGAGCTTTACTTTAAAGAAGCTTACTTTACAACCAGATAGACAAAAATAGATTAAAGAATGAGGTGTTAAACTAAAACCTCCTTAGAGAAGGAAGAAGACACCCTCCATTCCTTAATCCTGATGGTCTGAATCCAAACATGGATTTGCTATCATGATTATGCAAATTATATTCTTCATTTTTCTTTTTCTTTTTTTTTTTTCAAAATAGGTTGGTGCCTTAGTGGTTAGGAAGATAAAACTCCGCTCATCTTGGGCCTTAAATTTTGAAAGAAAAAAACAAAAAATGGGGGAGAGAATGATTAAGGGAGGGCCCAAAAAGAGGAGTGATTGGTGGTGATGACAGGTAAAGTCCAACCCACAGGAATCATTGGGAATCCAACGTTACAAGAATCCCTACAAATTCATATTCACATTATTCTTTTACTATAATAGTATATTGTATTATACTTTTTATATATTAGATTATAATTTATATAATAAAATATGAAATTAATGTTTATCAATTAAATTTATAAAAAAATTCAGTAAAAAAATACCTTAAAACTATATCATTCTAATAAAGTATTATAAAAAAATTAAAATATTTTCATCTTTCTTTTTAAAATAATTAAGATATTTTAGTTTTTTCAATTAAACTTCACTAAAACAA